ACAATGAATGGTCTGGATGGTGATAAGAACTCCAATAGCTTCAGTAGAATGGGTGCAGGATCAAATTTACATGCTATAAGAACGCTGCAGGTACCAAAAATAAAAATATCAATTGCAGGTTGCAAAACAGCAGAACAAATTACAGATGATGATGCACTGCAGGTCGTAGAGTTACAAGAGCAATACTGTTTTTAATGAGGTTTATTGTGTTGTCTCTGTATGCAACACATGGTAATGTCTCTCACTATGGTTCTTCTGATAATACACGGTTGAAGTGATTAACATCATTCAGTCAGTCAGAAGAAAAAGTGCATATAATAAATAACTGAAAATATTCTACGTACGCATCAAAATGTCCACTCTCTATCACAAATCTGGCATCTTCTAATTCTTGTTTTCGTTTCTCTTTTCTTGCTACTCTTTCTGGGTACTGAATAAAAATAATACTGTAAAATGACTAATTTTCACTGGGTTTAAATTTCACTGATTTACCATTTCAGGCATATTCAGTGGGTTTTAAATTCACGGTTTTATCATTTAGATAATATGTTTTATGCTAAATTTTACATACTCACTGGGTTTTAATTTAGCGCATTTTACAGTCAGCGAAATAAGCCAAATTAAAACCCAGTGAATAATTAACCATTTTACAGTAGTCAACCAACATTAAAAAATCACTTGTTTTGGTATAAGATGGAGGACAGCATCATTATGAAAATTTGTGATTTTTCACGTAACACTAACCGGTACACGCTTCCTCTTCCCTTTGCCGGAGTGGTTATTTTCTAATCCCCTCTCAGCATCATTATCATCTGTATCCTTAGCAGCACTGTCCTCTTCAATGATGCCATCATTCTGAAAAACTTTATCATCCGTATCTATGCAAGCCGGAGAATCGCCATTTTTTTTATCAGAAATCTTTGGGCAATTATTTTCACTTTCGGAGCATTTTGACGCATCCGTATCCAAAGGTGATGTCTCTAATTTTTCCGGAGTATTCTTTTCAACTAAATCATCACAAGAATTGTTGACATCCATTCTCTCATCTTTTTCATCTAAAATAAGTGCATCCTTATTTGGAAATTTATCTTCACTATTGGAGCATTTTAGATCATCATCTTGTACGCTAGGTGAAGTCTCTACTTTCTTCGGAGTATCTTTTTTATCAAAATCACCAGAAGAGTTTTTGGCAGCCATAACGTCATTTTTCTCTGCTAAGACTATTGCATCATTGCTTGGTGAATTATCATCAAAGATATTTGATGGTGAGTCTGTCCTTTGTTTCTTAACTTTCTCATCTCCAGAACACTGACAGTCTGTGTTCTTTGGAGATGTACTGTACTCTTCTTTGAGTTCAGATTCTGTATTGAGTTTCAGGCTACCTGCTTGGTTCAGTGGAAAACTGTGTAGGGTCTTGTAATATTCTTTAGGGAAGTTATAGCCATCAGTGGCAATTCGTAAAGGACTATCACCTATATAAAGCTGTACAACTGTTCCATATCCTGTGTCAGACAGACAAAAAATTGTATCAAAGCTTTACACTTCCATTACATTCATCTAATACAAGCCGAGAAATACAGAATATTGAAAACTGCGTTAAAATCATACAAGATGCAGCGTTAGCAGAATTGCATGCTGGGTAATCACACTTATTTTTCTTCAAATCATATTTTGTACACTACTTTTCAAAGTCCAGGTTTTGTCATGAAATGTGTGAAAGTAACTTTTGCAAAAAAATAGCTTCATTGCCGGCATTGGAAGCCTAATTGTTCAGTCTCATTGGACAATTGGCAAATTGTTGGGTCCAGAGTTGAGCAACTGTGATCCAAACGGCAGATTTTGGGCAATTTTCATTCAAATTATTTTAATACATCGCTCAGAAAATATTCTGCAGTTCAAATGTAATAAGAGTACAACAAATCTACACAAGTTAACACTGTATGTATTTTGCAAAGAAAGAACATGCTTACAAATACTCACAAATGATAACTATATACCATACAGAAAAGGGAATGATGTATTTGACATTATAAGGTCAATCTGATGGTGAAAATCAAGATACAGATAATGACTAACCTCCCATGCGATCCATTACCGCCCCAAGAAGCAGGCCCATGCAGCTTTCAACCACTATTACTTTCATGTTGGCATGTATGTTACCAAAGGTCAATATCTGACCCATTGTGTCGTATCGGATAAAACTGGAATGAAATTCACATGTAAATATTAAAATAACCGATGCAGTCTGGTTTTAGGGCTGATGAGTTACCAGTGTAACTTGCAAAGTACATGCATTGCAAGAAGAAGGAAAAGTTCACATCTTATAATTGAGGCTAAGAACCAGCCAATCACACTTAGTGTAACATTGGAGGCCAGAAACAAGCCAATCACACATAGTGTTATAATTGAGGCCAGAAACCAGCCAACCACACATAGTGCTACAATTGAGGCTATGAACCAGCCAATCACACTTTGTGTTACAAGTGAGGCCAGAAACCAGCCAATCACACATAGTGTTATAATTGAGGCCAGAAACCAGCCAACCACACAAAGTGATATAATTGAGCCCGGAACCAGCCAATCACACATAGTGCTACAATTGAGGCTATGAACCAGCTAATCACACTTTGTGTTACAAGTGAGGCCAGAAACCAGCCAATCACACATAGTGTTATAATTGAGGCCAGAAACCAGCCAACCACACAAAGTGATATAATTGAGCCCGGAACCAGCCAATCACACATAGTGCTACAATTGAGGCTATAAACCAGCTAATCACACTTTGTGTTACAAGTGAGGCCAGAAACCAGCCAATTACACATAGTGTTATAATTGAGGCCAGAAACCAGCCAACCACACAAAGTGATATAATTGAGCCCGGAACCAGCCAATCACACATAGTGCTACAATTGAGCCTATGAACCAGCCAATCACACTTAGTGTTACAAGTGAGGCCACAAACCAGCCAATCACACATACTGTTATAATTGAACCTGGGAACCAGCCAATCACACATAGTGCTGCAATTGAGGCTAGAAGCCAGCCAATCACACATACCGGTAGTGCTACAATTTGAGGCTGAGAACCAGCCAATCACACATAGTGTTACAATTGAGGCTTATAGCACACTCATTAATATTGTCCTAATGCACACACAGAAAATATAGAGTTCTGTATTCAACACCATGTATCCGGTACATATGATGGGTATTTATAACTTACACTATTTTGGGTGATGCTTTAGTGTAGTACATTTCACATAACAGTCTTGTAGTGGGCTTCAGTATCTTGAATATTGGTATATGTCTGGAAATAAAGAAATATTTCTCAAGTTACTAATATGTAAAAAGCATCATATAAAATAAATGCCAAGACCTAAATCTAACGCAGTGTGGCATTTATTAGAGTCATTGATCACATAACATGTAAACAAACAACGGTTTTAAGGAATAATTGGCAAAAACTACTTCTTGTACCTCCCATGCCCCTGTACGTGAAAGTAGGATCTTTTTAAAGGTCTGAAAACACAAAAAAAATTCAATTTTCTTTACTTAAAAACACCCCAATACATTCGTTTTTTGGCAAACTTGACAATTTGAGACCATTACCTAAATTCATTTTGCATACATCACATGGGACACAATATTGAACATGACACTGTTTACAAATGTGACACTTTACACAAGCTTAAGCGGTGATGGTGTATAACCTTTGACCCACATTATCGAGTATCAATAGAGGTGATAGAGACATCCACAGCTACACAGTAATATGAGATATATCAGTGATGCAAAAAATAATTATATAAATAATTGAAATTTCTTGATTTGTAGTTTATAACACTCATGTGAAAAACATTGATTGTCAAATATATTTTTTTATAAAATCTGGAGCAGATAAAACACATTTCTTAACTTTTCCATGCACTATATCATATTCTAACTGGATAACTGTACTTACATCATAGAATCAACACAATGGCTATTATAAATTGGAAATTATTTACAAAGCAGATAGTGTATCATTAAATATTACATATTGTCTTACTTGTCTTTTTTCTTCTTGATATATTTTGCTTGGGAATAAATATTCTTTTCTTTGAATGTTGCACTGTTTTCCACAATCTGTCCAATTAGATCCTGCAATAAGCAATGAAAACAAAATAAGACTTAAAACTAAATTAGACTTAAATTCGATTTTATGTGATAATTAATTCCTTAATAATTATTTGCTTTCAGTAAAACAATGATCACCTCTATGGGAAATTTCTGGAATGTTGGCTAATTGTGAAATTAAGCAATTATTAAATTTTTGATTAGAAACTGGTAATTTACTCATACTTTGACTGTTGGCTCCAAAATTAAGGTTCATTTCCAGAAATATTGAAGAATTTAAGAAAAAGGTGCAGACAAATTTTGGGAAAAAGTCTGGTGGTGAAAATTTTAATTTGTGTCTACTATTAACAGAAGTTCTAAAAATCATACGTACTGTGATATACACCAACGGACCAATAGTGTATGGTGTGTACTAACACTTGTGTTCAAGATTAAGATTTCTTAATTAGAATTAACACATGAATTGTGTTCCTAAAACTGAACACACTAAAATGTCCTCGGTTGTAGTTTTACCTCTCCTTTTAGACCATCTTTCTTGAGTGCCAATATTTCATTGTGAGATAACTTCTGTGCTGTGTTGTCATCAACGATATTTCTATTGTCACCAACTGCGTCTGACCCTGTGGTTAACATAATTATAGTACCTTCAATCTCAAATTCTAATAACAGTGACATAGTTATAAACCACAAGAATAGTGTTTGGTGTCAGGAATGAAGTATATACTGTAATGGTCAGTGGAAGAAATGGTTTGTAGTTTATGATTAGACAAGTTAGAATGTACAATGCTGTCAAAATTAATATATTAATTTTCATACAGGGAAATAATGAAGAACGGAAAAAATAACAAAAATCACCCTATTTTATAAATCTCTAAAAAAATGCACATGAGCAATTAAAATATGATTTTGAGTTTGACAGAACTTATTTACTTAAGCATATGCGCTACTAATGTATTTATCACCCATCTAAAACTTCATCACGTATGCGTATTTAAAAATACAATGTAAAATTTTAATTGAGATGTATTATAAAGTTATCTTCATTGAGTGTTTAGTCACAATCCATCAGAAGAGCATGGATGAATCTTTTGATTTCATTATGTTTGACATTACCTGTACTTTCTTCTTTGACCACCGACAGTTTACGACTGTACACTTTTGTGATTGTCCTTTTAGTGATCTCCCACGTTGTCCCATAACTCTCTCCTATTGCAGGATCCAAGTCAAAAAACTTTCTATCAAGATGAATTTTTCTGGAAAAAGAATACCGTAATGGCTCTATTATAAGCGCATGTGCTTACTAGTACGTGAATTACAGGTGTTTCTATGATCGAAATAATATTTTATTGACACTGTATAAGATGAATTTTTCTGGAAAAAGAATACCGTAATGGCTCTATTAGAAGCACATGTGCTTACGTGAAATACAAGTGTTTCTATAATCAAAAAAATATTTTATTGACACTATATATTACAAATGTAATTTTTGGTTTATATGTGCATCCATTTAAAAAGGGCTTCTAATAAAGCAAATATAGTATTAAAAGCCTCCTCTTTCTTATAAAATAGTCCTATAAGTTATTGGGGTACATGTATTTACATTAGTTCCCATCATGCTTTACTAAATCATAGAATTTGGACCAAAGTTTTGAAGAACTGATGGGTTGTAAACAGTGATTTGAAAATATTCTGGTCAAATACGAGTGCTCATTCTTTTTAAAATCGGCAATGTTTGCTTTCAGCTTACGTCAAGTCATGATGTCACATTGAAATTGTAATCTTTGACTACTGCTCTCTCGACACAATAGACATTAGGACTTTGATAAATTTGGAATGTCTATATTTCTGCATTTACTTTTGGCATTTTAGATGCATTTGATTTCAATATACATTATTCTGACCACGGCCATTGCTGTTCAATAGCAAAGCTCTTTTTGTGAATTCTAAATACGCATACCGGTAATCAATAAATAAGCAGCCAGAACGAATCCTGGAACGAATGTGCATGGATGATGTTTATCCAACAGCAATGAGCACAGTGTGAATAGAGTCAATTAGAATCTCAATTACTTCTGTGAGACCACCACTCACATATTCAAAGTGAATATTGCTTGCTGATTGGCTGACATTGAACAAACTCATTAATATTAATAATAATTTACACACTATGATGTCATAAATGACAACAACATCGCTGGATTGGTCTTTTTTAGATCTAACTGCCATTTTAAATTTATAACATTGTATATCTATTGAACATTTACAATATCCATAGTTTTAGTAAAACTCTGTAACAATTTTTAGTTTACACACAGTGCTGTAAAATGAACACAGTTATAAACATTTTTTATCACAAGAATGGCACTGCATGCACTTATAATTAAAAATAATTATTATGTTTCCAATAGGATATGCAGTATTTTGCTAACACTTTTTATTGGTATACTATTTTGGACACTATTAATTTTAAATTCCTAAGCGACGATGTCAAAAGATCGATGTTAGAAAACAAAACTTATGTGCTTTAGTTTGGAGGTGGGGGTGGGGGTGGTGTGGTTGACCTCAAAAAGTTTCCATCCTACAAAAACGATTTTATTTTTTAATG